AAATTTGGTATCCTTATTTGAACTTTTTCTCAAAAAATATAAACATTTGACAAGGAAAAACTGAAAAAAGAAAGCACATAAAAATATCAAAACCATAATCAATCCATGGAATGCCAATGACTGAATCAACCTCCCTCCCAAGTCTCAACAGCTAATTTAGCAATGGAACTACTAGGTGCCTAAGAGAGCCTTTAGTTTAATTTAACAACATAAAAAATAAGAAGTCCACAGAATGTTACTTACAGTCATTCATGAATCAGAATGGAAGAATCAGGTGCGGGTGCATAAGATAATCCATTGAGACAACAAATGCTTCTCAATCATTTTCCTACAAAACACAAACCAAAACAGTAATCTGCATTGCATTTTAGTCTCCGAATACAATTAGACCAGAAGCATTAATGTCCAAGAGAGAGCTCCTCTAACTGAAGTGCAGAAGCTAAGGTGTTCAAAGATTTTACCTTTCAAAATGACCGAAACCCTCCATACCAGTGTTTGTATAACAATAGAAGCATCTAACTAGAAACATTATAGCCATGGGGGAATCCTCCCACCGTCACCTGTGTCAAGTGATCACCTAAACATAAAGGTACTCCCGGGAACTTATAAACATCAAGATTGGCTCATTCCAACAGACAACTGAACAAAATGAAGAAAAGCAGCACATGATCTGCTCTGTTTCCAATATTATAAATAATGAGATCTACAATTACTAGTTCAATTGAGTTCCATTAAAATTTACAGTCAAAGAACTATAGGATTAAAGTTGTCCTGATCGGGGCTAAGCCCTACTGGCAAGCAACTCTTTGGGCAACCCTGATAAAAAGTTTAAGCAAACTAAAATTTTTTATTTAAAGAAGTGGGCTAGAAGTGGGCTAACAACTAGAAGTAAAAGCAATGGCCAGTGTATTCCAAAAGAATATAAAACAAAGTTAGCATAATCCTGAATTTTGCATAAATAGCATAAACAAGGAATGACCAAGTTAACCAGATTTAGTAACAATGATACATTTCATTCAGCTATCATATTAGGAAAACATCCAATATCATAAAAATCAACTAAATTTTACAACTTATATGAGCTTATGCAACACTAGTGCGCACAGAGGAAATTGAATCACACTTTACATGAATTCAGAAGGAGAACTGGTGTCAGGCTTCCCATTGTCGCCCTATCCTCCAGGTTGCATCAAATTTTGCAAAACATGAGGAGGCAATGCCCCCAAGCCAATACCCAATCCATCATTTGCTGACCCAAAAAACTGACAAAAGAGCCGTGCCATGACCCCAAGAATATGCATTTGGTTCTGGTATTCCTCTGCATGCATTTGCATTATTGCCTTCTCATGCTCAAGTTACAATGCAGCAAAACTCTCCCTCCACTCCATCTTGTCCTCCTCCATCCTCCTCCTCCTCAAACAATTCCTTCTCTAACCTCATTCTTCTTTCAAACTCCTTCCTTGCCCACGCCAACTCCACCTTCCTATCCGCCAACCTTCCCCCCCATTTGCCGCATTTCTTTCCTGAACTCCATTTCCCTCTTATTTTCTTCCCTTCCTACCTCATCCTTCTCTCTCACAAAATCCCTTTCCCTTCTTTTTTCTTCCTCCCTTTCTTCTCCCCATTTGCCGCATTTCTGTCCTCAACTCCATTTCCCTCTTATTTTCTTCCCTTCTTTCCTCATCCTTCTCTCTCACAAAATCCCTTTCCCTTCCTTTTTCTTCCCTCCTCACGACAACATCTCTCAATTCTTCGAGTTTACTGGCAATGATCCCAAAGCCCTTACTTACCCCCTATCCGCTTGCTCAATTTCCTTGCCTGAAGTGCAGCAATATCTCCAAATTCCCTCCTCCTAACAAATTCACCTTCACTCCCCACCTTATCTTCCCCACCATCATCCCCATCTCAATTTCATTGTCACTTACCTTTCTCCCTTTCATCTCGAGCGCCACATCACCAAAAACTTCTTTATACTTCAAGAAATTTCTCTCAGTGGCCCTCTCCATCTTTGCAATCAAACTCATCCTCGGAAATTCTAATCTTCTGCTTCACACTCAGGTACTGGTGCCTCATGTACCTTGATGGAAACATCACGCCATGACTACTTGAATGGGAAGGTAACTGGGTCCTGGAGATGGTGCACGGACTTAACGTGGTCAGTGATGGCCGGAGCTTTTCTCCTGAGTTGAGAAGATCAGAATATTTAGAGAGTAGTTTTTTGTTCTTCTAGCTCTGACCATTTCTTCAGTTTCATGCTGTCGGAAGAGAGAAGAGTAGCTGGATTCGTCGCCGCTGGTTGTCTAACGGCTGCCCTGTCGCCACTCCTCATGCCATGACTAGGATTTATGTAGCGATAGTCCCAAAATTTATAAAGAATAATAAATTGAGTTCCAAAACTATTGTTTTGTACAAGAAAATCCTGAGAGAACTAGCTTTTGATCTCTGAAAATTCTTGTGACTTTTAATTTTAAGCTAAAGTGAGAAAGAGTAGATTTATAATAGTTTTTATTAATTTATACAGAAAAAATAAAAATTGATCTAAAATATTTTTTTTGGGGGATAAAAGGTGAATTTGAGAAAAGACTAAGAAAAATACACAATAACTAATACACATTCTACTATTACCCAAAAACTAATTTGTCACAACTGTTTCAAGTCCCCATTGAATTGCAATAGCCATAGGAAGTGATGAACACCTTGGGCGAGCAAACTCCAACATTCTAGCTCTAACCTCAAATTGAATCTCATGAAGGATTGTACTCTCACTTCTAAAGAGTTGTAGATGAACTCTTTTGTTTCTTTCCATCCAAATGTTGTAGATTGTGGCATTCCATGAGAGTTTGATCAAAATGCTAAGCAAATATTTTCTTCTGACCCTTTTCCCCATCCAATGCAATAAGTCTTGCCAAGAGTCCACAAAGGGAATATTGATCATAGTACTAATCTGCCTCCATATTGTGTTAGCATAATTGCACTTAAAGAACAAGTTCTTAGAAGTTTCTAAGGTATTATTGCATAGCATACAAGTATCCAAGATGGTAGGGGTCCATTGCTTTTATCTAGCTTTTGTAGTCAATCTATTAAGTATGGCTAGCCAACCTATGAAGCTGTGCTTAGGGATAACATGAGGAAACCAAACAAGTTTATGCCATACCTTCCTAGGTTGCTTATTTCTCAACCAATGCCAAGTTCAACAAGTTTGGAAGATCCAAAAGGGGAGATCAACCAAATAATTGAGTCATTTTCACCTTTCTTAAGATGAATATCAAAAAGACGTATTTGGATTTCCACCTACTAGGGAGATCTACCAGGATGCCAATTCCAAAATCTACCACTTATAACACTGGCTAGTTTAGCTTGGGAGGGTATCCCTACGTCATGAACAATAGAGTTTCCATAAACTTCTAACAGTGGGCCAAAGGGATGCCAATTATAATGCTAGAGATAAGTGTTCTGACATTCCCTAGTATGTGCTGGATAAGCCCTTTAGCTAATGGCCTTAGTTTTAAAATTCTCCTCCATCCCCAAGAAGCATCAGAAGGAATGTTAATGGACCAAAAGCTTTTGCTCTTGAGTAAGTTTTCCTAGACCCAAGCAACCCAAACAGAACATGCCTTTGAGAATAACAGCCATATGAACTTTAAAATGCAAGCTTGATTCCATTGAGCTAAGTTTCGAAGTCCTAGACTTCCCTCTTGTTTTGGAGTATAGACATGCAACCAGCTTACCTTAACCCTTCTAACACTGTGAGTTTCATTAATTCAAGGAAAAGCACCACATATCTTTTCCACTTCTTTAATAACCCCTTTAGGCAATATGAAAATAGAACACCATAAATTGGTGATGCCTTGAATTACCATGGAGATAAGTTGTAATCTACCAGCAAAAGAGAGACGTGTAGCTGCCCAAGAGGACATTCTCTTAGTTAATTTAGAGACTAAAGGCTTGAGATCCTTTTTTGCAAGCTTTCCCATGATTTAAATTTTGTTAATTGTATAATTAAATTGTTTTACATAGTATTGGCATTGAAATTAAATTTTGAGTTTATCTAATTTGTGTCCTAAAAGATATAAGTTAAGGATATAATAAATATATTATTTTACAATTAATTTATATAAAAAATATAAAAGTTGATTTTTATTTTAGTATCATTATTATGTGAATAGTTTTAATTAACCAATTAATTAAATTCAAGTCAACATTTATATTTTTTATGTAAATTAATTACAAAAAATGTAATAAATATACCATTAACTTATATCATAATGGCATAGGATAGAAAACCTTAAAGTTTACTATTATAATTTCTTATACAACTTAATGCAAAAAAAAGTGTCATAAAAACATCCTTAACCTATATTTAAGTTTGGAAGATCCTTAAATTATAATTTAATATAAATTTTATTAAAGTTATTTTAATAATTTTAATATTTAAACAAGACTTTTAATATATTTAAATAGTCTAACATAAAAAGTTTTTTTTTTGGGGGTTTTTTGAGTGTCTTTTTAAAAAAAAAATGTAAAATAGAATTTTATTGATATATGAAAACCATAATAGTTATATGATCAATTCAAATGGGATAATACACAAGAAGTGTTACACTTATAAAATATGTAAAATATATATAATTAAATAATTTAATACTTACATAAATATTATAGTTAGATTCAAACTCAAGATTTAGTAGTTAAACTATATTCTAATATAGTTCATTTAAACGAAAGTAAATTGATTGGGGTGAAAAAAATTTAGTTAGGAGTCTCATCCCTAATTATGCCTTTAACAACCAAACCAAGCACAACTAAATTAAATCCAACTAATATCATGTTTAAATTGTTATTCTCCTTCGATGAGAACGAATCCTAATAAAAAAATTTTAAAAGGCCTAGGCAAGAAAAAAGGAAACTCTAATAAAAGAGGAAAACACTCTTATTTTTAAGCTAACCACCCTAACCTCCAAGAAAGAGAGAAGCGGCGGAGACTAAGGGAAAGGAAAAAACGAGAAAGAGCAGAAAATCAGGGTGAAAGACGGAATGGGGCGCCTAGAGTTTTTTCATTTTGAGTGTTTATGTTTGTAAAACAATAATTATTGAATAAAGAGCATCAATATTTTTTCTGTTAAATGAGATGCCATGATAGTTTGAAGTCAAACCCAAGGAAAGAGAAAACTGCACTTAATAAGGTAATAAGAGCCATTCAACTCAACGGATAAAGTGTAAACAGAATTAATCTTTTTACTTTTATTTAATAATTCAAATTATATAATATAAACCACAACATATATATATATGAATTTTTTTTTCTATTTTCATATTTTTGTTGTTTGTTCCTTCCTTCTCACGTACTCTGCCATGCTCCTTCCCCAACGTGGCAGCACCAATAAAGAAAGGTTCTTCTTTTTGTTCTCTTTTTGTTAGAAAATATGCAATAGTAGAAGAATAAAAGAATTTTTTTTGAGATGTGATCTCTTCTTTTTATAAGAATTTAAAATCTTTAAGATATAATAGAATATAAAATTTTTTCAAGAACTAGATGTAAAAGTTTAACTTTACATATGAATTTACAATGCCTAAAAGGCTACTATTTGTAGAGATGTATCTCTTTAGAAAGATACTATTTTATAGAGGTATTTTTTAATTGTCAATAGTTATATGGTTAAATGCTAAATTTAGTCCCTCAACTTTACAAAATGAACATTTTTTATCCCTTAACAATTTTTTGCATTTTTTTGATCCCTTAACTCTAAAAATTGCA